TGGCTTCCTAACAGCTACTGTAGTGTCAAGGGACAGAGAAATGTGCATCTCTTTCCTTACTCCAAGAGTGGAAAATTAACCCTTTCACTTTCTTGCCAGGCAAAGTGCACTCACACCTAATCACAGCAATCCACAGCTGCTGTAGTTGAGTGAAGGCTTTGAACAGCTTTAATTTTTTTAATTTACCAAGGTGATCAGAAAGCAGGTGGTGTATAGTTCAACAATTCCAGATATGACTAAATACAATAATTATGTGTTTTGGTGCTGCAAACGTGTTTTAATTATTATGAATTAACATCAGTTAAAACCACCAGAGCAACTAGTGAAGAGCTGTGTAAATGCATTTCTTGCTCTGCAGTCTGCATGCTGCAGGTCATGTGAGGAAGTTAGCTGAAATCTAGTGTATCGGTGAGGAGGCTCAGGTATTGTACAGATTTTCTGTATCTTGGATAAACCATTTAGTCTCACTGTCCCCAGTTTCTTCTCATGTTGCATACCAATTTGTAAAATACACTGGAAGTAGTGAAGTGCTTTGATCTATTTACTTAGATGGAATGATTTGGAGCAGAGATCGCTTTTTACTGTGTATCCTGGAAGCATATTTGAAACCCCCTTCTCTATCCTCCAGATAAGCAAACACTCACAATATGATATTCCAAGAGGACAGCATTACAGAAGGTAACACTGCACATCGTTAAATAAAAGATGGCAACTTTCCATATGTCACCTTTCTAGAGGTAATCTAATAAGATTAGAATTCATTATAGATATGCAGGTGACACAGCACATCCATTGCCCAGATTGTATAACCCAGTCTCATATTGCCAGAAGAAAAGGAGCCAAGCAGTTAACAGCACAGTGGTTGTTAGACTGTGTTGCCCAAAACAAAACTTAGGGAAATTAAGAAGAAATTTCACAAATTACTTGTAATTATTTATATTAACTATCATCATAATCTTCCAATGAAGAAAAATATAATTCAAGAATAACTCACCAAAAGAATATAAAGGGATCTTAACAGTAAAGAAGAGGCTTGTTAGATTTCAGAAAACAGAAATAAACGTTATCTGAAGGCAGTCTTTAATTATTTAAATTTTTAATGAAAAATAATTTTAAAAGCCAACATGAGCTGTCTCATGCAAATTGATTTCTTAAAACATTTAAAATCATTTGGACGCTTCACTTTTGTCTGTGTTGTTTCTTCCTTTTATTCCCACAGCACTTTCCCCTCTGCCTGTGCAGATCAGAGTAGCTGCCTTCTGCAGAACAGCAATCTCATTTTGTTTACCTTGTGTTTCAAAGAGAATTGAACAAGCCCAGGATTCACTTTCTCTAAACAAATACTGGCAAGACAAAGGTATCACAGCTATTCTAGGGACAAGAGGTTTGTTGAGATGGAGAACGGTGAAGACTGGCAAGAAAAAAAGTCAATGTGTTTTTATCTGAAAAAAAAGTTAATCCTTTTCACAGCCTCATTTTCTTTGCTTTTGAGATAGCTCTCCTTTTTCATTTAAGTTTTAGAATTTTTCAGCTAAAGGAAGCAAGAAACCAAGGTATTTTCTTTGTTCCTGTCAAGTAGCTTGAACAGTTTGAGAACAGAAACCAGTCAGAGCAGTGTGATTAGCGTAGCCAATTAGGGTGGATTTGCATATTCACAACACAGCTATCGAGAAATAATTCTGCAGAGATAACACAAGCGTGGCAATGCCTGTCTGCCCATCAGAGCACCCTGGCTCCTGTGCTATATGGTAATTGAGAAATAACCATAGAGAGATTCTGCAGATTTGGCACCCTGAGCTAATCCACGTGCTGGCACTATGCAGCTGGGGAAGAAAGTGCATTTGTAAGGCGGTAGAAATATGATACCCTGGAAAAGGTTAATCTACAATCCATTTACCTAAAATGCAACAGCATCTGTCAAATGAGTTTGTTCTT